CAATCCTCCTGTTGCTGATGACAATGTAAATGTCTCTCTGTGTAAAGGTCTCTCTATAAATGAGATGTCACTTTTTCCAACAGGAATAAAAAGCTCATTAAATTATCACCACAGATGCACAATGCCAGTTACTATTGGAGTAGGGGTTGTAAAGATTTAACATATTTATTTATGAGTCACCTTCTCTTTGCACATTACTGTTGGCCTGTGTTCTAGAGTATCCAGAACAAAAGAAGCCTGCTTGGGCTGATTCTGATGTCAATCCCTCAATAACGATTGATGAGCGAAAGCAAAAGAGGCCTTATCTTTCCCGTTAAGTGGTTTTTCCTTGTTCCATCCCTTTCCCGACATTTAATAAAAATGAGTTTGGGTTTATATTTCTCCTTTAATATATCAGCTAATCAAATGAATCACACAAGATAAATATTTACCAGTTCTGGGAAGAGAGATCTCATTTCGTGAGCTTATATGAGCAAATGATGCTGGAACCTTTGAGAGACATTCTGACAACTCCTAGGTCTACTTCGAAAGCTCATATTTCACAATAGAATTCGTATTATTATGGCCACATTTTAAATTCAGAACACTTACAATTACTTAAGAAATAATAATAATACGATGTCAGAATATGCTTTGAAAGAAGTCTGAAGAAAAATACAGTTATAGAGGTTCTCTGACAGAGAGCAATAAGAGCAGGCTTTCACTTTCAATATTATTTATTACTATATGTTACTTTTATTCTGAGGGAAAGAAGCAAGAAGAGTTTCTGAAGTAGGAAAACAATGAGACATTCAAAGACATCCGCGAGGGACAAAGAGATGCCCTTCTTCAACTATCTCCATGTCTTTGAAGACTACAAATCAACAACAAAAACATTCTTCCAAAAAACTCTTGACCCCTTTTTTCAGGGTCAAAGAGAAGCACATTGTAAAGCATTGGCCTGAAACAGTTACTGTCGTGCACACACACAGGACTGGCATGAAGGGCAGCCAGGTCCTTTGGAGCTCAGCGACACAATTTCTGCAGCACAACCTGCCCTGCCTCCATCACCCACGCCTGGAGAGAAGGGATTTCCAAAAGCCTTAGATTTAAAATTAACTTTAAATGGAAGCAAGAAAGCTCTGATGTTTACTTACAACAAAAGAAAAGTATGCCATTTTGTTAAATTTGGATCTTATAGTGTTGCATAAAAACAAGAAAACTAAGTCCATGAAATCATAATTGCTCATGTAATCTTCATGGCAGGCCTGTGTAGTAATATTATTCATCTACCCATTTACCTGTGAGAATGCTGAGGCTTGGAGAAGTTGCCCAAGGTCAGATAGCTTGGAAGTGGAAGGTAGGAGCAATCTAGAAAGACAAGCCTGTGTTCATATCTACTACTCCATCATGCTAACAAGTCAGTAATTTAATGGCAGTGGTTGAGACTACACTTAGTGGACCAAAAAGGTATGTATTTAAGTTTAATTTCTCCCATCTACAGTTGCTCAACAGGTTAGCCTTTTTTTCACTTGGATGAAATACATTTCAAAATCTTTCTAGTGTATTCTGGATTTCTGGCAAGCTAAAATTCAGCATCTGGATGAATTTTTTTTAACATCTTAAAACATTTTGTATCAGAAACCCTAATCCTTCTTCAAGTACGTAAAGAACCACTTAGATTTTCATGAAGTCATATTCATCCAAATTGAGTAAATGGATACTTAAACAGATTTGAAAACAATTTCTACCAAAAGGCTGAATCATTTATCAACTGAAAGACTGACAAAGGAAGATATTGATGTATGTGTACCTCTTCATTTTAAACAATATTTACACAGTGCAGTGTCCCTCTGAATAAGAAGCTCTGTGGTAGCCCATATGTGAAAACTCCCATCACTATGGCAACTAGAAATGGCAATGATTACACAGTGACTTGTCGTGTATCCCGAATAGAAATTGCTTTCCAGGGACAGAGAAACAACTCAAAGCCACACTTCATTGGGGAAAAACCCAGGTAAGGAATAACCTCGGGGCTGGTAGTTGGTTTTAAGTGGTTTCAAGTTAGATACCTATTTTAATATTAACTCCAGCTCAGAGAAGTCATTAATGTCTCCTAAAGAAATGTTCATGAACTCATTCATTCACTCACTCAAGAATTTATTTGCACCAAGTGCAAAGACGTTCTCTGTGGTAGATGCTGAACAAGATAAGCAGGAGGTCTGCCTCACTGAGCTTCTAGTATGACAATAGGTAAACAAGCAACAAGGAGATGTCCTGATCTCAGTTTGCTGCCCGACATATAAAGAGCTGTGCAGGTCACACATGACCTCCCAGAGGAAGTGATGGCTAAGCTGAGACTTGAGGCCGAAGAGGGACTTTGCAGGGCAGGGAAAGTGTACTTGACTCTGCTGGGCAGGAGAAGGGCTCCAGGCAAAGGAAGCAGCAGGCACTAAGGTCTGAAGAGTGGAAAACAGAGCACCTTATGGAACCAAAGTATTTCTGAGTGGCTAAAACATGGACTTGTAGGCATGGTGGTAGAGAAAAAATTAAAATGAAGACATGGTGGAGGCACAACATAATGGGTTTGTACCTAAAAGCCCAGCAATGACAAAGAGCTACATGTGCAATATGGTTAAATACCACCGATGCAAGGTAAATCAAAAGAAGCCACACACACGCACACACACACACACACACACACACACACAGCATATATTATATGATTCGATATATATGAAATTCAAAGCTAGTCAGTGACAACAGAGACCCACAGATGGGAGAGAAGACTTGAACAGACATAAAAAGGGACTTCTGGGGGTTCTGGAAATGATCTTCGTCTTCACCTGAAGCAGCACATTATACCAGTGGTTAAACTGGTTATACATACACTCAAATTTATCAACTTTATACTTGTGATTTGTTCGTGTTGCCTTAAACAAATTATGCCTTAATAAAAACAGGGGGAATCAAATTAGCAAAAATCATAGTTAAGTATTTAACTAAAAAAAGTGACTTATAGTAGAAAATGATCTGATTACACATATCAAAGGGATCGATGATTTCTAGAAAAAAATAATAAAGAGCTTTAAGATAAGGGAAACTTTTTGTACCAATATTTAGGTATTTATTCACACATTTGGTTAAAAAAAACACAGGAGTGAAATCAAATTATTATGACATATGTAACCAAATGGACCAACCAAGTACAAATACCCCAAAATCAGAACATGAGCAACACACAAGTCCTTAACACTTGTGCACTCTCACACGCCCATGCCCACACCCACCCACACCCCAACAATCACAGGTGCTAAATGCAGACATGACTCAGGGCCTCTTTTCTGGCTTGTCGGGTCCTAGAAAGGGAAACATTTTTTAATGAAGAGGAGTTTGTTTTATCATTTGTGCAAGTAGAGTTATAGATAGGTTTTAATCATAGCATTTTCCATATCAAAAAAATTATACATATATACATACTACACACATACCTATAGTATACACATATAGCAAACATAATCATCAAATTTAAAATAGTATTACCCACCCTGAGAATAAAATCAGAGTATGAATATGCAACAGATTTTAACTATGTTGGTAAAGTCTTAAGCTAAGTGGTACATTACATGGGCATTTGTTTTGTCATTCTTTATACATATTAAATATTTTATTTTTCTCTTATTTAAAAGACACATCACTATTTCCAGTGGGAAGCAATTCAATGACCGCTGTAAGGATCCAGGCATGAAATGAAGGTTGTAGTGGCTGTGAGGGTCGGGGGGAAGAGGAGAGAGATGAGGAAGGTAAATCACCAGCATCAACCAGATGTGGAGAGGGAGGCAAGGTTTTTGCTTGGCCAACTGAAGAGATGGTGGTTCCATTTACTGAGATGGGGAAACATTAAAAATGAACAAGATTTTAGAGAGGGTGAGAGGAGAATAATGAATCAGTCCAGTTTTTGACAGGGTGACTTCGAAATGTCTCCAGAGATTTCCAAGAAGCAGTCGAAACTACAGTCTGAAAATGAAGAGCAAGAACTAAGATAGATTTGGGAACCATCAACAAAGAGCTGATGATTGAAGCCACAGGCTTAAACTAGACCCCAGAGACAAAGGGGCAGTAAGCCCAGAGGAGAGTTTAGGAGGGAACCTTCATGCATCAGAGAAGGAGTCACAAAGACGACAGAAAGAGCAGCTTAAGAGGCTGGATGGAAAAGCACCAGTGCATATCCTGGTAGCCAAGAGAAAGGCATGTTTCAAGAAAGAGAGCGTGATCAACGGTGCCAACTTCTGATGCAAGCTCAGGGAAGGCAAGGACAAAAAATCAATCACTGGATTTGGCAGCCAAGATGTCCTTGGTGACTGTCACAAGAACAGTTTCCAAGAAAGGTGAGGAGGAAATCAGACTGGGATAAACTGACAACTGGGTGTATTAAGTAAAGATATCAACTGTGGAGTTCTTCTTCAAGAACTTTGGCTCTAAAGGGAAGGAGAGAGATAGAGGAGGAGCAGGAGGGAGACAGGTCAAGGAAGGATTATTAGTTTGGTAGTACTTTTTCAAGCTAAGATCTACATAGGCATTTATGTCTACATTTATGCTGATGAAATTCAAGTTATCATAAAGGAAAACACGAAAGTATGAATATATTATCATACATATGGATATATATCATACATATATGGACATATTCAGGTCCCTAAAATGAAGAAAGCACAGCAAGTTCTTATCAAAACAACCATTTGATTACTAACATACTTATGTTAACACTTCAATGCTGGTGAAATAAGGCATAAAGGGGACAAACTGTAAACCATGAAGCAGCACATTATACCAGAAAGAAAAATGAATGTTAAATGACCACTGTTAGAGACCCTACATTTTTCCTCCCCCCTCCCATCTAATAGTGCAAAAACATTGTTTGGCATTGAATGAAAAAATAATTTAAAAAATAATAGAGAAAATAAAATAAAGTTACTATTCAAATGGCTCATTTTCATGAGAAATAGGTAGTAAATTCCTACCTGCTTTGGTGTTTTCAGGATGCTTGTCAGGGTGACATTCCAGGGCTCTGACCTTAAATTCTGCCAGAATTTGTTCAACCTAAAACAAAAAGTAATGTTTAAAATAAAGAGTCCAACTTAAATGACGAAGGAAGAAGCTGGACATCAGTCCTGCCCCAAACAGCCATGATCAATCCAACTGTTCATTTTGATCTTTGTTTTTGTGTTTTGACTTTTTTCTCTAAGAAATAATTTCCTCAATAACAAAATTCAGAACGTATCCAATAAAAGCCCCCATCCAAAGAGTGGTCTGTGATGACAATTTAATGTGTCACTGTATTTCAGTAATGGCCCAAGATACCTATGAGCTCAATGTCTTTAAATGTCAAAAATGGTCAGATAGGTTTATCCTAAGAATGTATAAAAGATGTGTTCATACACCTGAGTTCTTCAGAACATGCTTGTGCCATGACTGGTGTGGCTCAGTGTGTTGGGCATTGCCCTGCAAAGCTAAAGGTCACCAGTTCAATTCTCTGTCATGCCTGGGGTGCAGGTTTAGTCCCCAAGGTGGTGCATAGGAGAGGCAACCAACCGGTGTCTCTCTCACACACTGATGTTTCTCTCCCTCTCTTTGTCCCTTTCTTCCCCTCTCTCTAAAAATAAATATATAAAAGTCTTTTAAAAAGATGCTTAGTCGCCATTCATTATTCAGGGACAAATAAAGTTTCTTCCTCCTGCCTTTTGGCCTTTTTCGGTTTTCATTAAGAATTTCACACTTTTTTTAAAGGACTAATTCAAACCTGATGATTCCACTACCAAATAACAGCTTGGTTAGAGACTGTGACTGGGAAAAGAGAATCTTCAGCCCAAACTAGAATTATATTTGAGGGCCATCTATGCTTTGACTTGATTTCACTCACCCATCTAATCCTTATTATCAGTAATAATCAAGACTTGGCTTTATTTATCATAATTGCAATGACAACATAAGAAGACAGCAGTGGTTATGTGGCTCTGGAATCTGATTGCTTCATTTTAAATCCCAGTCCTATCCTGACATTTTAGGCAAGTTATACAACTTCTAATTACCAAGGTTTCCTGATATTTACATTACACAAATCATATAAGTAGGGCATTTAACACAAAGCCTGATTATAGTAAAAACTCAATAATAGTAGCTAATTATTAAATATCAGTGGTTAAGTAACTTGTCTGACGTCATTTATCTAGTTACTTAAAAAGCTAAGTCCTTTTGTTAAGTAAGCAGTGGGACTTCAAATCCAAACATCTTTCCCACTGTTTTTATACAGCTGAATTCTTCAGGGTCAGGGACCTGATTAATAAAAGCAAATTACCTCTTGTTTGAGAATTGAGTTCTTGAGTAGTTCAGCTCAATACTGCCATAAGATTCATGAGGAAGAACAAATGCTTATCAGCTCCATGTCATTCTTAATCAGTTCTTATAAAAAAGTCCTTCACTTGTATCATCAGTCAGACTGTATTACACATGCATATGTATAAAGCCCAGACTAATAACTTTATTCTTTTCTTTGTTACGCTTCTACTGAGGACTTCCTGGAATAATGGGAAGGGACAGACTTCCTGTTAAGAACTGTAATCAATTGTTTCTTCTTCCTGGGTGGTCCCTTTAACCATCAGATACCATAATCTGCTTATATAACAAAGAAAATTGAGAATAAGTTGTTTGTTTTCCAAATTTAAAATATTAAATATTTACATATCTTGAGGGAATTTTAATAACACACATGGATAAAATCATACCTATCTATCAAAGGTAGAAATTTGGGGTTTTATTTTTACCTTTTTATTTTTTGATTCCTATCCTATTAGGAAACATTTTAGTATTAGCCCTTGGAAGCAAAAGTATCAAAATGGTTAATTTTCAGTAGTGCTGATCTGCACAATTGTTAGTTTCTTCTTTATATCTTCTATATTTTGCCAATTTCATATTTTAAAAGTTAGGAATAGTCCGTATATGCCTTTCATTACTTTTCATTGTTTTCTGGTCACAAAATTCATAAATTGTTCTGGTTAAACTAACTAGTACAGTGGTTAGTTTGCCTTGGACAAATTCCATTACTATTCATCTCTTGGCATCCCCACTCCACGTGCCCACTGCCAAGTGCAAGCCATGGGCAAGTGGCCCTCCATTTCAAGGTCCACTGAATCCTGACTTTCTGATTCCATGTTCAGTGGTCTGGAAAACTGCCTATCCTGTTGGCCAGTAAACACACAAAAATGTTCAATTTTACTTGTACTCAAATAAATCAAAACATCAAAGGAATGATAATGACCAGTATTATTGAAGGCACAAAGAACTGATGGTTTTCATGCTCCCCTGGTGCAAATGCCTTGAAAAGCAATTGGGATATATATTTCTTTCATACTCTTTAATCCAACAATTCCAGTTCAAAGAATTGGTCTAAGGAGATTATCAAAGGTGGGAAAAAAAATTAGTTATAAGAAGATTCATGCTATACATTGTAAGCAAAAACCTATGTGTCCATAATAAGATATTTGTTAAAGGTAACTATAATATAGCCATAAGCTGGAAAATGTTGCAGTCATTTAAAAAATCATTTTGTTGCCCTGACCAGTGTGGCTCAGTTGATTGAGCATTGTCTCATAAAGCGAAAGATCGCTGGTTCATCCCCAGTCAAGGCACATGCCTGGGTTGTGGGCTCAAGGGCACTGATAAAAGGCAACCTATCTATGTTTCTCTCTCACATTGATGTTTCTCCTTCTTTCTCCCTCCTTTCCCCTCTCTTTAAATATGAATAAATAAAATCTTGTAAAAGATCTTGTAGTAGAAAACTTTTAAAAATCTGAGATAATTTATATATTGCATTTCTATAAGAAAAGGCAAGCAACAAATATTTTGTCTAGTATAAATCCTAATTTTACCTCAAAAGAAATGATGTAATATTATGATAATAATAATAGCTAAGATTTATGGAGACTTACTATGTCCCAAGCATTGCTCTAATCATTTTTACATACACAGCATTTTTTTTAAATTCCCACAACAACTCTCTGAGGTGGTACTATTATTATTACCATTTTGCAAATTAGGAAACCAGACATAGAAAAGTTAAATAATTTTCCCAAGGCCATACAGCTAGTAAGTGGCCAGGATTTGAGTTCAGACAGTCTGATTTCATACATATAGACACATAGAGATATATACACATGTATGCATGTACTTATTTACATAATACTTAGACCTAGCATATGTATATGCACACATAATTGGCATGCATACATCACAGGCCCAAATATTAAGCGTCTAGGTTAACATTTTTCTTTGTGCTCTCTTCATACTCTATATCTCTTTATCAAATATACATTAATCTTAGATTTTAAGTTTTAAAACTTACATTCTCCATATCCTATTAGCACAATATTTTGATCCGCACCATGGAATACTCTAGTACGCAATAGGGACTAATCTGATCTCCCCTTGGACAGATCTTGTCTAGCTTTCCCTGGCCACACAAATGCCCACTGTCTCTCCCTCCAAGCATCTAAATTTTGACCTCATAAAATCATTTCAAGCCCCATGTCTTCTCTCAAGTCTTTTCAGATATTCTCTCTTCAATTCCTATTGCACTTGTAGACCGTACCACATAGTACAGCACTTATATGTTCTCAAACGGTTTCCGTGTATTAGCTTTGGCTCCTCACCTGGATGTTAAGTTCCTTATATATTCACGCCATGGCTTACCTTTATGTTTTGCTTTGTTTTGTCCACACACCCCCCCATTGCTTCTAGTACTGGCCTGATGTTGTTACCGAACAAGAGACCAAGGTGGGTATGATATACTATTACCAAAAGGACCCCTACTAGGTTCACTTGTCTGCCACCAGAGGAAGGACATCTCTTAGTGCCAGAGATTTGTGAAAAGGAAAGGAAATGTTTATTTAAAGCTACACAGACTTAAAGTAGTGACCTGGTCACTTCTATTAGTTAGCAACTTCTATTAGTTGGGAAGAACTCAGGCCAAACACTGGAGGAAGCGAAGTAGTTCCTGTATTTATGAATGCGGACCCAAAGGAGGCAGTCTCCAAATTCTGGGCCCTGAGCAGCAGGGAAGCAGTTGCTTTTATAGGATAAAAAGCGAGCATTATTTCTGGTGCAAAAGCAACAAGCAGCTCACAGAAGCAAAAAGGAGTGGAGCATTATCTTTAGCACGCAGGCGACAAGCAGTTTACAGAAGCAAGAGGCAAAAAAAACAAATCATTCTCTGGGTACTGTGCTATGTTTTAAAATGGCTGCCAATTTCCTCTACCAACCTAATGTCTTCATTAAAATATCAAAGTCCTTTAGGATACCCACAGACACACACAGTGTTTCCTTCTCCCTCTGCCCTAATTTGGGGTACTGTATCTCAGGAAAAGAAGTAGATTCAGGGCCCTGGTTGGTGTAGCTCAGTGGATTGAGCACGGGCCTGCGAACCACACAATCATGGTTCGATTCCCAGTCCGGGCACATGCCTGGGTTGCAGGCCAGTTCCCAGCAGGGGACTCACAAGAGGCAACCATACATTGATATTTCTCTCCTTCTCTCCTTCCCTTCCTCTCTAAAAATAAATAAATAAAATCTTAAAAAAAAAAAGAAGAAGAAGAAGAAATAGATTCAGGCTCCCAACACCATCAGCTGTGTCAACTGCCAGGATCAAGCTGTGTGGTTCTCCCCTCCACCAAAGCTGCAGGGGTCTGCACTCTGGCAAAACTGCATGGTTCTACTTGGCCAAGCTGCGAGGGGGTCCCCACTCTGCCAAGACCACACGGCTCTCCCCCGGCAAGGCTTCAGGGGGTGGGGTCAACACTCTGCCAAAGTCAAGTGTCCATTCTCTGCTAAAGCTTCTTGGTGATTCTCCCTCATGTGGCTGTGGAAGTCCCTACTCTGGCCAAAGCTGCGTGGTTCTCTCTTTAATGGTTGCCGCCTCTTGGTTTAAATCCCCAAGCCAATCTTCCTCTGCAGCCCCACTTCTGACTCCTCCCACAATCAGCTACACTTGCCAGCACTCTCATATTCCAGCTTTACTGGGCTGCCATAGTGGGTCTGGGCAGGCGTGG